AGAGAGAGAGGGAGGGATGAGAGAAGTACACACATCCTTGTTTTCCTGCTCATTGTTCTCGATTAACAAGACAATTCTCATGCAGGTCTCACAAAACCCTTTGTTTCCACGAACGCATAAGATAACAGCATCTTTGATACAACCTTTGCACAAGGAAAATGCACATGTATAACACTTATAGTGGGCATTTTTCTCACAAATGCTGCACAAATGCCAACCTGAAGTACAAGAAAAGATAGCATGATGTGCATCAGTCAAGAGCAAACTATACATGCTTATATGTTTCTAACTACAGCATAATAAAGAGTTAAAGCACAGCGACAATCAAAATATAAAAAAGTGCCACATATATAACATGTTTATACAAGTTTCTCCGCTCAAAAGATCCTAAATCACATATGTAGTAGTCAAAAATGTATTTGCTATATTGACTAACACAATAACTAATCAAAAACATGTCTAGAAATGATGAAAAAACAGCAGTTCAAACAGACAGCATGCAAAGCAATCAGTGAAGAAAGTTCATATTAACACATTATATAATTTGCATATTAGACTTCTGAACGGTGGGAATGCTAACTTATAGATCATATTGACAAGAGGTAATAGAAATAATACTGCTACTTAGTTGATGGGAATTCACATTACTAATCATATGAACTGGGTCTCAAAAGAAGCTAAATATGAGGACTATGTAATCTGACTCATTCGCATCATTCGCATCCACATCATAATGTTTGAAATTCAATATATGCATGGAAACTTCATTTACAAAAGTCAGAGAAAATTGGCAGGAGTTTGTAGACAATATTATTCCAATTAAATAAAATGATCAGATATAACATTTACTATTTATCTCCAATTATGCATGTGAGCACTTGAGGAGATAGAGAGGGGCACTTACCACAATTCCAGATCCCCTTGGCTTTGAAAAATGCATCATCTCTATTAACACAAGATGGATGATATGCTTTTGGGCAACCTCTGTGAATTCATAGGGAACAATTATTGATAAGCCCCATAAAACACAACCAACAATTTTTTTTGAAACAAGTGAACACAATTTTTTCTGGTTACATTCTTAAGATTATATGTCACTATACAAGAAACTCACCTGCGGTCACACATGACGAGGTCCCCACCATCGAAACAAATGAAACAAACATCGTCTCCCACGAGCTTCCTCCCTGTAGCTTTTGCTGCTCTCTTAAAACTTGCTGAAGTCTTTGATTTCTTTCCTTTCTTCTGCTTCCCTCCAGAAACTTTCCCAGAGTTGGCCACATTAATTTCATTCTCCATTTCAGTGTCTTGAGTCCCAGTCTCCTCCATGGCAATCATTGCCTCGTCTTCTTCATCTTGTACAACAGCCAGTGAATCACCCAACGCCTCACCAAACTCACCAACATCATCATTTGTTTTCTCAATCTCCATTTCACTCTGTATTGCCAATTTTGTGTCCTTGGATGAAATCCTCTCAGCCAAGTTATCATTTTTAGCCTCCATATCTGTTTCCGTATCTGTTTCCATTTTTGTATCTGCTGTTGGAATCTCATCTTTTGCCACTGCTTCCTTCACAGTTTCTGCAACGTTCACAGGCTCAGCTGATTCTGAATCCTTTGATACATCCAAATACATATCTTTCTCCTGCACCACTTGGGTTTCTGCCAGCAAGCTATCGTCAGCAACCACCCCTTTATCTTCAGCATACTCATCTTTTACAGCCTCTAATGACTCAGTTCCAACAACTCCCATACCACCATCTAATCCATGAACCTGCTCTCCAGCACTGGCACTGGCCACTTCAGAATTTGTCTCATTCGTCATCTCAAACTCCACTTTGGCTTGGGAGGTTGAAATCTCCTCTAGAGTTACTTCGTCAGCAACCCGAATTTCTGAATCATTTAATTCAACAGCAACCTTCTCCTTAAAGTCCATAGCACCCTCTATCAATACCTTCGTATTGCTTTCCACCATTTGAAAATCCATTTGCTCTACCTCCGCTACTTCCTCATTTTCAGCCTTCTCTTGCGCACCTTTCTCTACCTCAACCTCTGTCTCAGTTTTAGCATCTGAAGCCTCCAATTTCTCTCCCACAACCACCGTCTCCACTTTTGTCTCAGCCACTGGCACCAATTCTTCCCAGCCTTTTTTACCTAGTTCTACATCCCCAACGTCAGAAACAGCCATTTCACCACCACTCAATGCCTCAGATTCCTCTCCCACAACCACCATCTCCACTTTTGTGTCAGCAGCTGGCACCAATGCTTCCACACCCTTTTTGCCTAGTTCTAAATCCCCCACATCAGAACCAGCCATTTCACCACCACTCGATGCCTCCGATTCCTCTCTCACAACTACCATCTCCTCTTTCGTGTCAGCCACTGGCACCAATTCTTCCCCGCCGTTTTTACTGAGTTCTAAATCCCCAATATAAGAAACAGTTATTTCACCACCACCTTCCACTTCACCTTCAACCATCCGAATTCCCTCCGACGCCTCCTGGCCCGCCTGTCCGCAATCAATTACATTCAAAACAGTTTCCTCGCAACCTTTTACATTCAACACCATCACCACCTCCGCCTCCAATCTCATCTCTACCGCTTCATCTCTGTCCACACCATCACACTCTGCTCCACCTTCCTCTTCCGCCGGCTTCTTCTCTGTCACAAGCATTTCATCTTTCACAGCCCAACCACTTGAATTCGAATCGTCCAATTCACGAAAAATCCCACATTGCTCCTCGGTTTTAATCACTTCCGCTTCCATTACCGATTTTTCATCCAAAAACGGCCTATTCACATTTGACAAACTCTCTTCATCGTCCGCCATGGGAACCCAACTTTATTTTCAAACACTACCCCTTGAATTTGCGTAGGCACCGCACTATAGGTGAATAGTGCTATACAAATGTGCATACGTGTTGAAAGAACGCTCAATGCTGATGAATTTTATTCTCTTGCGTTTTGGGGTTTCATTTTTTCCTTAAGGAGCCAGCCAACACATGAAATTGATGACTGCTTGGAACTTGTAAAGAGAATCCGCTTATCATTTTGTGGATCATGGGCCGGTGAGTTTAAAAGGTGGGATGTTCTAGCTGAGCCTTTTGTGTTTCGATCCATTCCTTGTGTGTGTTTTGGGCTTTGGGAAATTTATCCAGTCTACCAATCATACCCTCTATAGGTGTATTTTTACGAGAAAAAATTGCAATTGGGGTTCTAAACCTTTTTAAAAACTGTAAAGGATTCTAGACATTCTATTTTTGGCCCTGCCATTGCAAAGGTTTGTAAAAATATACACTGAAAAGACCTTTAGATGGTAACCAACCAAATGTCTGTCAATTGAACAAATGTGCAGCAATTAACCTTTAGTTGATCGTTCTTAAAAAAGGAAAAATATATATATATCTACATTTTCCCACTTAATTCACCAATTAACCCAACCTAACCTTGCTCCACATCCATCGCCCTTCTTCTTATCGTCATCACCATCACAATTTGCTCATCTTCTATTCCACAACTTGTAAATTTNCCTTGCTCCACATCCATCGCCCTTCTTCTTATCGTCATCACCATCACAATTTGCTCATCTTCTATTCCACAACTTGTAAATTTAATTGAGAAAATTTGTATCATCCCACCACTCCTCCACCACCACCAATAAAGTTGAGTGCTCTACATTCATGATATTTATGTCACTTAATTTATTATTTCATTATCATTTAGAGTGTTTTAGAACGTTTTAATGTGTATTTTGATGTTGTGAGATAGGTTAATGAAATTGAAGAAAATAAGCAAAAGTTGACAAAATTGGAGAGAATGACCAAATTGTAAGAGATCCAAAATTTGAGGACTAAAATGTAAATAATTAAAAGTTGTGTTGAAACTCGTATTGAAGATCGGAGAGTGCTATGAGGCAATTGGATGAAGAAAGATGTCAAAGGGATCAAATTTAGTAAAAATATGACACAAATCAATTTTCAACCGAAAAAAGTTATGCTATGGAGTTTTAGTCTCATATTGATACCCATTTTTGACATAGAAAACGATCTAATTGGAGAATGATGTCCGAAGCAAAGTTGTAGCCCTTTAAGCTAGCTTTCTAATGCATCTTGAATTTCCTCAATCAGATATCAGACGAAAAAGTTATGACAAAAATACTAAAAAATACGCAGTGTAATCTTTCCACCCGAAACGGGCGCCACCACGCTGAAAATAACAATAAAAGTGGCGCTGCAACACCAATATTGGGCACCGAGGTTCCGACTATGGGGGAAAAGGATTTTTTTTGTTTTTGAACTCTTTGTTCGGCCCAACTCAACCGTAATTCGTCCAAAAACTTCAAAATACTATAACTACCATTCAAAAGACATATTTTCTCCAACAATTGAAGGGGACAAGATTGAAGTCAATTCAACAAACAATTCATCAAGAGCAAGGAGGTTAACGTCAAGGAATCGAGCAAGGAAGCATGAAGAACATCAAGAGGTATTCCAATTAAAAGCTTCAAAAAGAGTTTTTCTTTCTTTTCTTCTTTATGTAATTCATCAATATGTTTAGATTTGTTTCTTCTATCACGAACTAAACATTTAATTTAGGGTTTGATTGTAATCAAAACTTTAAGAATATAGATTGATTAATTTTAGTTATTTCTATTTGATTTTCCATGTTTATTTATTCGTGATATGATTTTAATGCTTTCAATTAATTGGCCACTAATTGAATGAGTAGATGCTAGTTAATTTTGGCACTCGAGGGAGAGGAACTTAGGCGCGATCATAAGATTAACACAACCTAGAATTTATGGGTTTCGAGAGAAAGTATAAATTCTTTGAAAAATGTTCCATCTAAGAACACGATCTAAATAATTCTTTGACTTTAATTTAGAATAAAGATATTGGGATTAATTTCTAGGAATATTTTCTAGCTGGCACTCTAGAGAGGGAATAGAAATGCAATTGAGTTCTTGCTTATAAACCTGGAAAATTGATTAGAGATCAAATTAACTTTTGAAAATCATATTTGATAGTAAGGTGAAATCACAATCCTAGGCTTTCTCATCTTGATTATTCTTATAACTTGCATTTATTTGTTGAATTTGTCATCACATTCATCACGTCAATTTAGTTTAGAAACATTGATTCTAAAATTCATTCATCTAGATAAAGCAGAACTATATAATTATAATACTTAGTAAATATTGAATTACAATCTCTGTGGGTTCGACACTCTTAGCTAATTTACTATATTACAAAACTTGACATTGTACACTTGCGGTATAAATCACTTTATAGAAAACACGTGGCAAAAGTCTAGCATAAATTAAATCAAAAGACACCCTCTCTGGAAAACACTTCATAGGTATAACAACACACATCCCTCTTGGGGTTATGTTTGGTCGAGTGTCATGTTGGAATTATCCATTACTCAAACTAAGCCATTTCATTTTCTTTATATCTCAAGTATTCTAGCCTACAAATAAACAGTCGATCTAAGGCTTCAAAGATTGAGCCTAACTCTTCTTGTAGGATTGTAATGGTCTATAATACAATTTCTAATGCTAAGAAGCACCAGAAGAGGCAATAGTAGAGCATACTCATGTAACTACTCGAATAGTTGATTAGCATGACTTATATAAGACTAATAATAGAATTCTAAATGCTAGTGAGAAAACAGAGAGATTTAGAAACTCGTGTAGGGATGGTAGTGGTGTGGGTTTTGGGCGGGGTAGTGGCTTGCCCCATTTGTTTCTCAATTTGTTTGTTTTTTAATATTTATATTTTAAAAAATTTCTTTTTCAATAACATTAAATAATCCTCTTTGTTGGGGAAAAGATGGGATCGAATAAATGGAGCACAAGCCCTAAGACTTCTTCCTAAGGGTACTAAGCTGAAGGTAATACTCTTGACTAGCACATTATATACAGCAGTATGAAATATGTTTCTACTTGCATCTTTTAGGTTTTCTATGTTCATTGGGACGAATGAGAAATGTAATACATTTTTGTTTGGAATCTCTCTCTTGGCAAAAACTGCTTCTTCCCGATAGTAAATGCTTATTGAACTTTTCCATCATGGAAAAAAATTCCTTCAACTTTTCCATCATGGAAAAAAATTCCTTCTGTGTTCTCTGCAGAACTTGCTTCCTTTTCTTGGACCGCTTTTAAGAAATGCTAGTGAAGCATATCGGAACTTTTTAGTGATAAAGAGCTTGAGAGAGAGTGAAAACCTACACGGAACTTGCTTATCCAAAAATAGCTTCTCTTGGGCTAATTTTTGAGAAAATCTTTTAATTTGTCACGGGACAAATTCGAGGCTCAAAGTTCGGGCAGGGCTGATTATTTTGCCAGTTCTAAACTCATGAGATTATAAAACTGAAGAGTTTCTTTTTGTTTTTTTGATGATCTTACAATGGAGGAGGAATGCTCCTAATATAGAGGAGGGGACTCATTCAATCTTGAGATACCATTGAAACAATAATACAGACCAGTATAATAATCAGACAAACAACTTTTAAAAATCCTACAGGACTCAAGTATAATCATGATACAAAAGGACAGACTTTTAACTAAAAGTCATTCTTTTAATAAAGTAGGAATCTGCTTTTTCAAACTTTTAATAAAACAAATAGTACTTCATCATTTATTATACAATACGACATATAACTCATCCAAAGCGACAAAATGCTTTTATTACACACGTTAATAGTTTTCATGGGGTACCAAGATTTGTTGCCCTCCCTGTTTTATCTGAGTCTTCTGAATCTGAGGTAGTCCAGTTTGCTTCCACCTAGGCATATTTGCGAGCATATATTTTTTTCCTTAGAGCTCTTCATAAATATGTTGTTCTAATTTCTTAAGTTTGTCTTGATTATTGGGGTCAAAAGAGTGTGACAACAAATCTTGGGATTCTTGAAACTGGACAGTGTTGGTTCTTGTTCCTATTTGTTTAAGCTTGTTCTTTCTCGTGACGCTTTTTCCTTGCCTCTGAATATTTTTCTTGTGAACTGTGGGTTGTCTCTACCAGTGTAGAGTGTTTTGATGGGAACATTGTCATTAAGCATTTTCCATAGTCTTTCTCTGAGTTGCTGATCTTCAGGGGTGTCTTCTTAATATTTGACCATCTGTTCTGAGTTTTGAGTGGTCCTGTTAAGATACAACTGATTCCAAGAATTGTCAAAATGATAATCATCGAGTGGATTGACTAGATAATAATTGTAAGTCTAGCTTAGATTGTCCATATTAGCTTGAATATCAGGTTGAATTCTTTGATTATGACATTGGTAGAGTTTCCTGTGGTGCATCTTCTCCAATATTAGGCTAGAGTTCTAGAGGTATTTTCTGATTGAGTTTTACCATTTTTCTATGGAAGGTCCTGAATTCTTTAGGATATTTTTCCCAATCTCTATGAAGATTGAACGGCTGGACCGCATATTCCTTTACATGTGAAAAATATTCATAGTAACCTAATTCTGTAAAATACTATTGAATTTGAAAAATAAGGATTACATGAACATTGTCAACTAATGTCTTAAAATCTTTGAATTTTAGACAAAAAAACATTGAATTTTTTATACCAGTGATCAAAAGTGGAGAAAATAATTCAAAGAACCTTATTACTTCATTGCTTGGTTTTGAAAAGAATTATAGATAATCCTTCCATAGTTGTGAACCAAGTTCAAAAAGTGAGCTTTTCATGGTGGATACATTAAAACAAAATGCAATTTGATGTAACTCTAGAAGGTACCAAAGAAAACATAAAAGTGCTTCTGAAAAAAATTCATTTACTTGATTTGGATTTAAATAAAAGAGGTTAAAAAAGGATAATCTGGATGAAAATCAAGTCATCCAACAATTTGAATGCCATATTGTCTGATAACCCGCGATTGGTAATTTAACATGCGTTCCTTTGATTTGGAATGGATTTTGTGATTTCTGATCACATTTTTGAAGTTCAAGAAGGACATTTTGGATTGGAGGATTTTATGAATTTCGAGAAAAGGGTTTGAGCATATAGATTGCTGAAATTTATGAGTACATGGAGTATATATGGTATGTGAATCGAGTTTGAGAAGTAGTAAGGTCTTTGATTTCCAA